CAGGTGAAGAAACATCTGCTCCAGTACAAATCCATATATATTTGGCCACTAAACGATTCACAAAGTTTTTACAGTCATTATCCCAAAGAAATTAAAAGAAATAAACATTCAAAAGAAAAGCAAGACTTAAAAAAGCATGAAACAGTCAAGTTGCTAAATCCTAGAAGAACTCAGAAAAAACCTAAATTCAACTTTCAGCTTCACAGACAATAACCAGCACCAAGGTCAGCTACTGAATTTATCCAAGTCTATCACTGCAAGATTTTGCAGTAATATTCTTTATAATAGAAACCTTGCACAGGGGAAAACCAAACAAACCTGAAGCAAAAAATGAACACAGTGTGATATAACCACTAAACAAAAAAGTGCAAAATGGGCTATTGGAGAGAAATTTCTAAACTGAATTCAGATTATTCACACAAGCAAGGATATGCACAATCAGGCCCATAGTAACTGAGCAAAACAAACATCAACTCATTAAAGATCTCCCTGGCTGAATTTATCTTTGCTTTCTCTTCAGTTCTTATGGGTTATTCAATCACTTCCCATCAGCCAGAAAAGGAAATATTGCACTATGAAGACAGAGCTATAATTAGATATTCTTCTATTTCATTTCACATATATGACTGAATGAGAATGGATGGGAAAAATATGAACAGAGATAATAATAGCAAGTTGAAGCATTCAGTACAAAATACATTTGGCACAGAATAACATCTCTCAGTTCTTCCTCAGCACATAATGCTGTGTTTACTGCAAAATTAGTTAAGTTAGTATAAGAGATTTTTAATGAAAACAATTATAAATTTAAAATAACTGTGTTTAAAGCATTTAACAGTCCCTAAGGTCAAGTGATTACAGCAGTTACAAGACCCGAGGGACATGTTCACACCAAAACAAAGTGAATAAATTACCTCAGCCAGCATATGTAATCACTAAGTGACCACAGAGGTTATTCAATGTATAAGCCCAGATGACTTCCATGCAAAACCAATAATGAAAACGTAACAGCTGAAGGGAAAAAGCATTTAACTAGCAAAAGTTGCTGGAAGGGCTGAGAACTTGGGAGGATGGCAAAGGGAGTGTGGAAGACAAGCTCCATGGCTTGGCTGTGGAGACAAGGGAGGATGAGTGTTGATGAAATGGACAGGCGAGATGCTGAATATTTTTCCCAAAGAAAGGGACCCAAATTGTTGCAAAGGGATGCAAGACTCAAAAAATATAGAGCAGCAGGGCTTTAAGCAGTGCTCTCAGCCCTGTAAAACTGGAATATGTAACACCCAGTGAAGTACAAGCAAGGCAGGAGCCCAGAATAATCATCTCTCCACTTTCCCCTTGGCTTTACTACCAGGAAGAATGATGGACAGTTACTGTGTTTTAGTTATGCCATGATATAATTCTAATGGAGGCAGGACCCTGGTTTTTACCACAGCGTGGGTAAGATAAGCTGCAGAATGAATCCCAGCTTTGATCCGGCCTCCCTCCCTCATGACATAAATGATACAGATGCCTTGTTTTCACTGCAGCTTCACGACACAGCTGCCAGAGGAGCAAACCAGAGCCAGGAACGACAGAAAAACAGTTTTCTGCAAGGACCACCTGGTATTTGATGTATTTGATTCTCAGTGTGCACCTTTGGAGTAAGGTTCCTACCAACTATGGTGGAAAGAGATGCTAATGAGGAAGCAAAAGGAATCCTGCTTGCTCCTGGTATGTATTTTTTTTAACTATCGCACATCATCACCTCACATCCTTGAAGGTAGTAAATCTTCACAGCACACACAGTAAATAATACCACAGTAAATGGTCAAACACAATTAACACACTTTGCAGAAAGGAGTCTGAAAAGAGAGGCAAAAGGACATGCCTGACTTTGGTGCTTTGATTCCTGGTGAGGAATACTTGCACTGAAGCAAGTATTCACCAATATTCCCACAGGTGAAGCAAATTGCTGGCTTGCCCTGTGCCAAGAACCTAATAACTGGTATTGTCATATATATATATATATATACATACATATATATACATACATATATACATAAATGTCAATATATATATGTGTGTGTATATATAGATGTGTATATATATACATATACATATATGAGAAAATGCAAGTGGACTCTCTGCATGAAAAAAACTATTTTGTTTGTATCCAAAATATAAAAACCTGAGGCCAAAGCCAGCAGGCCCTCACAAAGCCAGAGCTTCCAGTTTCAGTGAAATTGCCTGCAAAATCTGCTTTTTCAGACAAACACTATACTGTCTTCTACAAGACCTATGCATATATGCTAAGAAGGGACCCTGGTTAATTACTGAGGCTGGAACACAACCTATCCAAAGGGTTATAATTCTTCTGTTGGGCATGTTAAGCCAAGGGCCTGTGTGCTAAAATAATACCATCATTAAGCCCTTGATAGGTGCAAGGAATGCCAAGGAATGCCAACACTGCAGGATTCCCCGTGGAAGGGTGAAAGCACCCTGGCAGATTATTTGGGCTGGCTTTTTGCAACCCTAGTGGCTGCACTGGCCACAGGCTCTGGCTGTACCTAAAAATGATTTGTGAAATTTGTGAAATTACCCAGGGGCCGAAGAGGAGCTCAGGTGGCCAGGCACTGCTCTCAGCAATGCACTCAGGGAGATCTGTGCTCTCCAAGAGGCAGTTCCTCCTCTGGAGCTGTTTACAAGCACAGAAAAAGGGTAGTTTTGAGCCTACCAAACCTAGTATCACTTCCTAGAAATAAGAAAAATACACCTAAGGTGCAGTGATATGATGAGAGAGCCCCACTCCCACATGCACAGCAATAAAAGAGAAGGAATAACACTCATTCAAATCGGAAGTGTGGAAATCAGAGGAGGTCAGGTAAAAAGAAGAGTACGAAGAAAGTGCAAAGAAGGATGACAAGACAGACAAAGCAGAAGTTCTTCTATTTAAAAATCCCTTTTGTAAAACCAGATGTTCCTTACATATCTCTTGAAGGCTCAGCCAAGGAACTCCAATGCAATAAATTGATGTAGAGATGCTACATATGATAAAATATGCAAGATATACATAAGATAAATTATGTAGAGATGCTGCCATCACCCAGCAGGCAAGAGAGAGTGCAGTAAAACCTGGCAACAAAGCTGTGCCTCGAAATACTTTTTATATAATGCTGTAAATTCATTCAGATGTTTTCTGAAAATCAGCTGCTCAAGTCACCTTCAGCTCTGGGTACTTCTAGAGCAAGAGGTGACCTGGCAGTGCACACCCAGCCTGCCAGTGGCATTTACAACAGCAGCCTCCCACACAAGCTCCCCTCCTTGGTTTTGGCTGTCTGCTGTCGCTGTTTAATTGCCCTCAATTCCAGCAATAGGCTGTTAGGGCACTGCTGTCAAATACAGCAGAACATGAAAGGCATTTGTAGTGGGTTTGGTTTGTTAATTTCAGATTTTTTTGATTAATGTACTAATTAGTATGGTGGGTTAAGTGCTGGCTAATCACTAGTGCATTCACTAGGATGTACTCTCTTATTTCTTGTGAGGTAGGACTAGGGGAAAGGTAAAGTAGGCTTAAAACTTTAAAAGAGAGCATAAAGAGAAATTGATTAATAGTAACTAAATGAAAAAGTAATGAAAATTAGAACAAAACTTTTAGGACACTTTTCATCTTTCTCTAACCTTTTCTTTCTTACTGATAATGTAAAGAAACAAAACCTAAAATTTTAGTTAGTTTACTACTTTTAGAATAATCTTTCTTTAGTTTACTTAGGGAGAGAAGTCTTTTTTGTTAATGCTATGGAGGCTTCTCTATAAGAAAAGTTTTTCTGTGTTTCTTTATATGAATAGTATATGCTTGGGGAAATTTGTAATTGCAAAATTTCTTCTATTTTTTATAAGCTTTTTTTACAGTTGTGTTTATGGGCCTTATGGGGTAGAATTTTAAAGATGAATTTTTGAAAGGTAAAGGTTTTCATTATCTAGCTTTAAAATTATCTTTATCTCTGGGAATAGAGGTCTTTTTTTTTCCTCTCCCTAGCGACAGTATGCTACCAAAGAGATGCTGACTGCCCTTGATCAAAGTTGAAATACCAGTACTCCAACTCAAAGGGGCAAGCATGTGAATATCACCTCCAAAAAAATCTCCAAATATGTATAATATGTATAATATGTATAATATATATTATATGTATTATATGTATTATATGTATTATATGTATTATATATAATATGTAATATATATAATGTGCATAATATATAATATACACTATATATTATATATAATATACAATATCTATTATATCATACAATTAATATATAATATCTTAATACTATATCACAATTATATATATACAATATATAACACAGAGTATTAGTATATGTTAATATTATACATATAGCTACAATTATATACCTATAATATTATATATACAGATATGAAATCTATATCTATGAAAAATATATATTAATTAAATAAATATTTATTTTTATTTATATTTTTATATGTATGAGAAATATATATATATATTTACAATAATACTCTCCCAAAAGTATTACTGATTCTGCCACATGGGAAGGAGGACTTTCATAATTTCCAAGAATGCTGTAACTCCCAGCTGTGCTGTAGGTTATAGCAGAGCCAAACCACAGTGAGCAGCAGTTTTGGCTGTGGGCACAAGGACACAAACCCCCCCAGCATTAACCCATGGGACAGTGCATCCCCTGCATGAGGTGCCACCACCTCCTCAGCACTCCCAGGGGAGCTACGCAGTGCTTGTCCTGCAGTGACAGAATCTTTTCCCCAAGGCAATGCAGAAATGCAGCAGTCTCTAAATTTGTCTTAATTAAGAGAATTATTATTATTTATGATTAACAAGTGAGGCTAGAAGCAGCACATCACACAAGGACAAGTGGAGGAAGGGTGGGGGGAGATTTCTCGAGTGCCCTAATTCAATTAGCAGGCGGTGAGTGACACTCGGACAGGAGAGGTTAATTGGGGTCAGCAAAACGCAGTAATTCCTTACCTAACCAGTCATTAAACTTCTTAACCTCAGAGGGCAGTCCCAGCTCGGTGAAATCGCCCGTGTGGAGCAGGATGTCCCCATAGGGCATCTGGATGCCATCTGTTCTGGAGTGCGTGTCTGAGACGCAGACAAAGCGCGTGTGGCCCGCTGGTTTTGGAGTGTCATATGGGATAGGGTCGACCCTAAAGCAGACACAAAGATCTCGTAACAGTCACAAGGTTAAAACCCTCACATCCATTACTGCAGAAATCAGCACACAGCTCCCTCCACGAAAGCAGCCACACATCCCCTGACACACGCCACGCTCCGCAGCGACACTGCCAAAAACCCAGGAGGGACCACGGTGCTGCTAAAAACTTACCTGGTAAGGAAAGGAAGATTGAAACATACACAAGATACAGCCACTCTGTGGTACCAAAGTGTGTTTAAACATGGGGGAAAATGGATTTAGGAGGCTTTGAATTCAGATGTTTTACATCCTGTGCCTTATACACAGGTACAGGGGCCATGGAATAACAGGTCTCACAGGTGGGCCAGGAACAGGCTCTCACCTGAGCTTAGCAGCTGATTTTGTCCAAGGGCATAGGTTCTCCTACAGATCCCAGGTTTTATACACAATAAGGTACATTCAGGAGTGCTTTGATGGAGGCTGGAAACTGCAGAACCAAGTCTAGCAACAGCTTCCTAAACTCCAACAAAATCCTGAGCTCGTCTTCCCAGAATCTATAAAGTCAGAACTGCTGTGCTACCACACTAAGCAATCACATATAAACCTTTGTTTTCTATAGCCAACAATGCTAAAAATTTAGTTCAACTGGTTATCTACAATCTATATTTGCTAATTTGATCTTATCAATTACATGTGTCCCATCATGGAAGTCTGGTCATTTGGTTTTGGTGACTTTTTTTTAGGCACAATAGATTAAAAAAACCAAGTAATCGAAATGTTTTATCCATACTTAGTGGTTAGAAGCTCTAATTTTTAACAGAATAACTTAAATACAAAAGGAAACCCATTGCCTACTTTGGAATAACAATTATTTCTCTGAAGAGTTACCATAATTTGATTTGCTCAACACTTGAATAGCACAGCATCTGGGTTAGTGCCACAGAAAATCCCATCCCAATTCCACAGAACTTCAGCTCATTCCACTGATGTGCCACCTTGATCAAGCTTAGAGCTCAGCTTCAGATAGAAATGTTGGGATATTTGGGAGTATTGTCAGAATAATAGTCCACTTACATCTCAAATTATCAGGCTAGTGAAACCAAGCTCCAGCTACTTTAAAGCACCCAAAAATAATGCTGTTCTAAAACTTATTTGGACAAAGCGGCACAACAGGCATTCAAAAATGAAAGCAAAAATAAAATTAAACAGTTTTTATTTTGCTCTCCACACTGAGAAGAAACACCAGTAGACATTGCCGTGAATTTGTTTGTCCTAAATCCCCAGAGCTATGATAAGATGTACGGTCAGTAATAGAAACTAAAGCACAAACCTTAAGAAAATACTGACTTTTGAAGTATTGCTTTTGTTTAGTGCACTGTAAACTAAATTAGCATTTAGTTTTTACTGTATGCTGAACTGTGTGACAACTTCTACCAGTGCCTTCAACTTCAGCTCCCTGCATAGGTGAGAAAGACCAGAAGCATCCTCCAAGGTGCAAATCAGCTCCATGCTCTGGGGAGTTTTAGAGTGGCTCCAGAAATCAGACTCCATATGGGTATGTCCTGGTCTCCAGTGGAAAACTGTCCCTGTGAATGCTCTTGCTACCAAGATTTCAGTGAGTTAGAATTTAATTTTGTTAGAATTTAAACATGATATTATATTATTTTATTTTTATATTATAATATATATATTGTACATTTTAATAATATATTAATTATTTATTATATTTGTTAGACTATTCAGAGCTAAAACATTAGTGGGGGAAGCAGTAGGGGAGAGATATTTGTTAGAGTGCCTTTTCCTAGGTACCATAATTAGGTCTTTCCAATCAAGCTGTATTTACTAAAAATGTACCTTGTTGACACAGGCCACTGAATTAATTTGCAAAATTCAGGCTCTCCAAGATGATGCTGACTTTAAAACAGATTCTACTGCCAGCTGGACTGGAAAGCAGAGAATTTGGTGGATAACTCTTTCTGGGGTTTGGTTTTGTACCAGGTACAATTACCTGAGCCATGAAACTGTTACCACTGCAGAAACCCATGAGAAAAATCCAACAATCAATGGATTTTTTTTTTCTCAGCAAGGGTCTAAAATTAACAAGGTTATTATTCAAGAGAAAAATTAATTTACCCATTCAATTTACACTGGCAAGCTGGGCAGAACTGTAATTAGAGGTCACAGTGCTTTTCTACATGGTGCCTTCCTTCCAAAATATGGGGGTCCCCAAATCAACATTTCCCTACTTCCCAGCCTGCTTACTCCAGACAGAACAAAAAATGAACACTGCTTGAGCTAAACCAGCACTGCCTGCCCTGGGGAGCCCAATTTTGTTTGTACACAGCAGCTATACATTTGCTATTCTCTGCAGCTTGCAGCCAAAAAAACCCTCTTCTGCATTAGAGTAGGACACTGAAACCTGGTTTAGGATTTTTCCATTCGTGCCATGACTTACAGGAAATTCTATAATCAAAATTCATTAAGTCCCTGACCCTCCTTTCTCTTCTTTACAAACACTATGATGTTGCCAAGTAACCTTTTTTCTATGTCTTAGCTGCCTTCTCTTGTTCAGTAGTGCTTGCTTATTAAGTATTTCCAAGTGAGATACTGCAGGTGATTGTGCTCAGTCCATCAATTTATCATACTCAAAACAGTCCTTCAACAGAAACTTAATAAAAGTGGAGTTATTGCCAATCCTAAAGGCTCAAGTTTTCCTTCCATCCACAGCTGCAGCATGGCAAACAGCAATATGAGAGCCTCCCTTCCCGCTGCATTCCCAGAGGATTGAACTCTGCAGGCAAGGCAGTGCCCTGTCACAGCTCCTGGTGGCACACAGGTGTGAGCATCACCCTTCCTCCTGACCCACTCACAAACCAGCAGCTGGGGGCTGCACACTGCCATTGCTAAAACAGTCAGTTATGTATCTCACCCTTATTGCAGTTCAAGCAGATAAAGTAATAAATAATAAAAGAAAATAATGATTTCAACCCTGTCCACCACCATTCTGCTGAATCAGAGAACATACCTGAGAAATTCAACTTGTTCTTTACCTGTGCTGCAAACACAATGCATCCAGCTAACACTGACACTCTCCATCACCACCAACATTTTGGTTTTTTCAGTCTTCTTGACATGGCAGACTGAAACACTTCACAGATTATGTGATTACTGCATCTGGAACAGCATGTTCATGGAAAGATGCAGTAAGAGATATCTCAGAATAATTTAAATGTTCATATATTAGGATTAATACAGTAATCAGGAAATAGGAAACAACATAAGGTATGTTGCACCTTAGCAAATCAGGCACTTGGCTGTTTTTCAAAAAGTTTATGTACGACCCAGAACAAAATCCCATAAGGCAGTTGAGCAATGGCTGCTTTGTGAGATCACGACAGTAATTCAAGATCTGTCACATTTAATGCATTTATGACAAGGGTTCAGGAATCACAAGGGACAGTGTAATCTCCATACCCCTCTAGAAGAACCTCTACCAGATAAATCCCCAGCTTTACTAAACTGCTCCTCCCAGCAGTGGTTCTCACTTAGAGCCCCTCATGCCCAAACCTCCACCTTGTCCCCTTTGAACCCCTAATCTAGAATCCTAAAATTTTACTTTTGCACCCATGCCACACTTAATTATTACTTATATCAAACACTCAGAGCTGGTAATTGATCCTGTAAGATTGAAAACTCTTTTCCATGGACAGAGATCACAGCCAGTGTCTCTGGGGGCTCTGTCCAGGGGGGTTCCTGACCTCTGCCAGGGTCCCAGACCTGCCAGGGCCGCCAGAGGGATGCCCTGGGTTCCCACAGGAAGTGAGAGATTGAATAAGTGAGAATGAGCAACACACACTCTGTCAGGGGGGTTTGCACAGCAAGGGAGCGGGGGCTGAACTCGGGAAATCACCAAAAGGAGCACCCTGGGCCTTTCACATGTGCTGGGGCGTGGATACTGACAGTCTGGGCACAGAGAAAGTCAGATAAACTTTCCCAAGCATTGTTCTGGGGAGTTTTGAGAAAGATCAGAGAAAGAATTATAAGAATCCTTAATCTTTGCAACTGGTGTTTTAAACTAGTTGTTTATTTATAAGATGTGCACAAGAAGGGTGTTGTTCCTATCAGCCTATGTTCCACTGGGGACATCTGTGACTGAATTTGTGGGTTTATTTTTTATGACATCTAAATAAGTATTCATTTTGCACCCATTTAAGCACAGGCTTTGAGACTGTGTGCCACATAAAATCCTTGTGTGCTGTTGCACTTATTTGTTTACTTTTTAAGATGTGTACAAGAAGAGTGTTGATCTTAATTAGCCAATAATGTGAGGAGTGTTAATTGAGGACCAGTCAGGTCAGACCTTCTCAGAGCTGTCTATAAAAAGAATGTGATGTATAATAAACTTCACATTTACCTTCTAACAACATAAAGACCTGTGCCACTTGATTCAACCATCCCTAACGCAACAGCAACACTGGGGCAAAGGACTTGATTTAGGATGTCTTGCTACAGAACAGACATGTTAACTGTGCATTTCAGCCCAAGCCTACACCAGTTACTCATAAGGATGTCTTATAAATCAGCAGTGTTGGAAAGCTCCTGTGAGACAGGCAGGGCAGTGCAGCCCTCCCACAGACACAGCTGCAGCCACACTGGGACCCTGCTGCAAAAAAACTCAGAAAACACACAAGCACCATCTCCCTGAAAGGAGTCAGTTTTGATTGTGGAGGATAATTCTGCATGGCTGAGTTCAAATGCTGAAAATAAAGGACTTGGGGTGTGTGGGAAATGAATCTGTAGAGAATTTTTAAAGTTTAATAGAAAGTTTAGTTAGTATGCATTTGTGTGTAAGCTTTGAGGTAAGAAATGTTGATTTAGAAATACTGTCTATCTTATAGATACTGTTGAGAGAGAAAAAGAACTAGAAATAAGTTTTAAAGGGTGGTTTTGTAAATAAGACTGGATATTTTAGAGAAATAGAACTATGAAAGATGTATTGTAATAAGACTTATG